AAAAAAAAAAAAAAAGACAACATGGAGATACAATCAGCAAAATCCAAACTGTAGGAAACTCTAAGGGACAAACAACCTAGTTTATTCAACAATAAAAATAGGGAAAAGTGGGAATTACAGATTTAAAGAGACTTAAAATACACATCAACCAACTGCAATGTATGATCTTAGTGGGATCCAGATTCAAACAAACTGTAAAATCAAATAAGACAATAGGGTAAATTTGATGACATTAAGAAGTCACTGTTAATTTTTTAGGTGTGATAATTATGGTTACGCTGAAAAAAAGAGTTCTTTTCTACTGATAAATACAGAAACATGTATAATCAACATATACTGAGATTTGCTTCATAAAACATCAGGTAAAGAGAGTTGGTGAGTATAAATAAGATTAGACATAAGATGATAGTTTTTGAAGCAGGGTAAAGGGTGCATTATGTCCTTCTCTGTGCTGTTGTATGTTTGAAATTGTCCATAATTAAAAAGTAATTGAAGGGCCGGCCGAGTGGCTCAGTTGGTTAAGAGCTCACTCAAAAGTGCGCGCTCTGAGCAACAGCGGTTCGAGTCCCAGCCCGAGCTGAGCTGCCACTGAGCTGCCAACAGGTGGCAGGATGGCTCAGCTAAAAAACAAACAAACAAACAAAACAAAAGAAAAGTAATTGAACAATTTTTAAAGATATATTTGATATATCATGTCATACTGGGTTTCTTTCCTCAAATCTGGTCATGTGACCTGGGAAAGCATTCAATGCCATTTACCAAGTCTATGATGAACCTAAGCCCAACAAACTATACTGCTTTAGGCACCAAAAGGGACATAAAAGAAATTAAGTGATCCAGCCTTTGCCAACAATCTTTTTCAAGTGAAGATTTACAACCAAGAAACAATGATCCATACAATTAATAGAACAAACCTATGTACAAGGAAGTGCCCTGAATATTACTGTCCAAATACAAGGTACAATGACAAAGTGCTATGATGAGTGAAAATCAACACTGATTAATTTAAATCTGAATGAGATAACATTTCACACCCATTATCATAGCTAAAATAAAAATGACTGACATGACGAAAACTCAGCAAGGGTGCAAAGCAGCTGGAACGTTCATTCACTGCAGGTGGGAATGTAAAACGGGGCAATCCCTCGAAGAACTGTTTGGCAGTTTCTTCTAAAGTTACATACTCCTATAGCCACCACATGGCACACTAATTCCATGCCTAGGTATTCATCCAAAGGAAATGAAAACATATGTCCACAAAAAGACTTGTATTATAATGTTCATAGGAGCCTTATTCATAATAGCCAGAAACTGGAAACCAAAAGATCCATCAACAGAATGGACAAACAAATTGTGATACAGTCATCCAATGGAATACTACTCAGTTATAAGAAGGAAGTACAGATACACACAAAAATAGACAAAATACTGAGTGAAAGAAGCATTATATAATATACAAAATATACATTATATAATATACAATATGTAATATACAATATATAATATACAAAAATTATATATTGTATAATTCCATTTATATGAAGTTCTGAAACAAGCAAAATTAACTTATGGAAACCTTCAGAGCATAGGGGTGAAAATGTTCTAGATCTGTGGCTCCATGGGTGTGTACTGTAGTTAAAAACTCATTAGGGGCCGGCCGAGTGGCGCGATGGTTAAGAACTCGCTTGGGATGCCAGAGGGCCCCGGTTCGGATCCCACATATGAGGGCCAGTGACACTGCCCTCTACAGCTAAGATGCTGAACAACAGCTCAACCTGGAGCTGGGCTGCCGGGAGTCGCCGGCGACGGCGTAGGCTGCAGCCCCTGTGGCAGTGGGTTGCCATGGGCTACCTTGTGTAGCCAGCAGCCAGCGTGAGCGGCCAGCAGCCAGCGTGAGCGGCCAGCAGCCGCAGTGAGCGGCCGTCCAGAAGCCGGCAACTGATCTGCCTCACCAGAGAAGAGCGCGATGATGGTGCCAACTTGGGCCAGTGAAGCGACATCCTCCACAACTAGATTGAAGAACAAAACAACAGCAACTTGTCTGTTCCCCTTCCCCCAATTCCCCAGCACTGTTCCTATCCCCCTAATTCCCCAATAAAAAAAAAATCTTTAAAAAAAACAACAAAAAAAACTCATTAAACTGAACCCTTAAGAACTTTGTGTTTTATGCTATGTTAATAATAATTAAAAAAAATGAATGAGAAAACTGGGGCTTAGATAGTAGACAGTTGCCCAAAGTAATCAACTAAGAGGGTACCAATGCAGGATCTGGGCTAAGGGTATAATATGATGAAAAAGAAGTTTAAAGAAGATCTGTACATTATGAATTTGCACATCATTTCTTGGTTTAGACTCCAAACTTTAGAGGGGATATGGGGGCAAGAAAGCCTGGTTGGAGGTATTACAGAGAAATAAAGAGAAATAAAAACTAGTTAATGAGGCCCCAGAACAAAATAAGGATAATGGGAATGAAAAGAAAATCAAGCAAAAAGAGGTATCAAAAGCAAAAATTAAGTTCTATAAGAGAAAAATGACTCTAAAGAACTGAGTTCCTGATTCCTGGTAGATTGATGGGATCAATATATAAATATTGGGGAGACCGCTTAAGACAGGAGATGACGTATTTAATTTTAGAAAGACGAAGATGAGGTATCAAGGGAAGATTTAAACAGATGGATTTGTAAAGGATTGCAGAAAGAGATATGGAAGAAGTCAGCTACATGGAGACAAAAGTTGAAAAATGAGTATTTTACAAAGAAGCCCTGCCAATATAACCTATCATTTGTATAGTAATTAATAGCAAACTAATTGCTTTCATAGGTATTTAACACATAAAGAAATGCAGCAAACAAAAACGAAGGAAGATGGAGGACAGAGAAATCTGTTTAAAGGCAGAAAAGAAAGTGTTTTAGGAAAGGAGACTGACAATTTTAGAACCAGAGCCACTGCATTAGAATCAGTATTTTTACGAGATCCCCAGGTGATTCTTATGCACTTTCAAGTTGAGAAGCCCATCTATTGTATAACACAGTCTTTTTTTTTAAAACTGCAGTTCTCAACCATCAATTGGTTATGAAATCACCTTAGAATGGAATTGAAAATATCAGAGCATATCATACATAGTAATTTTTTGTGTCTGTCTGAGGCATGAGGTAAAATTTTTTAGTGTAGATTGAGATTTTAAAAAAATTTTACAAAACATTGAACACCAAAAAAGTTTACCAAAACCTCTTCTTTGGACTAAGAGAGTACTAAGGGGACACAAGAAACCTTATGCATTAAGAAGATAAAAGCATTCATCTGCTAGTGTTTCTCACACTTTTTTGACAGTGACCCACACTAAGAAATACATATGAACTAGTAAAACATACGTTTGTAATATACATATAAAATGACAAGTCACAAAACAATACCCTTACCCAGCAGTATTCGCTGATATTTCTATTATCTTTCTTCTTTTGTTAGTGTTGCTCATGACCCATTAAATTGATTTCACAATTAGTGACTTTTATAGGTCCCTACTCAGTTTGAAAAGCAATGATCTTTGGCCATGCTGTTTGGCCTCAATCCTTAGCTAAGAGGTGGTTTGGAAGGACTGAAGAAGTTAAGAATGACTATTATGTATGGTAAATACACTAAGGAGCTGATGAAATAATGACACTTACTTAGCAGTAAAAAAAACCAAACTAATGTTGCAGAGTGCATAAGTTAGTTTTTGTCTTTCTGTCTGCAGGTACAAAAGAGGAAATAGAAGATGGGACTAATGAGGGTTGGGAATTGGTGAAAAATCAAGGGAGGTGAGAGATGGAGATGAAGTAAACACTACTAGAACCAAAAACTAGGGCACTGGTAACTAACCTGCCTCAGTCAAGGAAGTGAGGCTGGTCCAGGATGCCCGGCAGGTGCTGATTGAACACACTCAAAGCTTTGGTTCCTGAAGGCTGGCTGAAATACAACACCTCGGCGACAACCAAGCAAAGGCTTACAGTCTAGTGACTGTAAGCCCCTGGTCCCCCAGGCTAACGTTATTGTGCTGTGCTCGGAAGCAGCCTATGTTAGGGAGAAACAGGTAACCTGGGCATGAAGAACGGAGATCAGAACTTATTCCAAGAATCTAAGAGAGAGGGGAGCCAAGCTGCTGCTAAGCCTTCTCTCTGACCTCGGGGGTTCTAATACAGCGAGTCCCCAGACAAAGGAGGCCTCCGTCTGGGTCACAGCACAGTTCTGGTGAGAAAGCAGGAATGGCAGAGACCCAGCGGTCGCCTGGCTGGGCCAGCCTGGAGCAAACAAAACCCTCTTGGGTCCCCCTACTTCCCATCACCCCTCACGCGGAGCCCCGAGGCTGTCAGCGCCCTCCAGGATCGGGAAAGGCGTGGTTTCCCTTGCCCGCGTCTCCCGTAAGGCACAGCGGCCAGCCCAGTACCACTGCGTCTTGGCAGGGCTGGAGGTGCTCCCACCTTCACTTTAATTAGCATCTTCTTCCCAGTTTGAAGCTGCACACAGATAAATTGCTGCTTCTACCGCTGCGATCGCCGCTGCCGCTCCCCAGCACTCTGCCTGTGGGAGTCACTTCTGCTTCCGGGTCACTGCCTGGCTCCACCCCCCCACCCCTTCTTTCCCAGGGATTCCCGAAAGTCTCAGGAATACTCCCGAGTTTCGTTTCAGCGGCGTCGTAAAGAAAAAGAAGAAGGCCAGCTTAGTTATAGCAGAGACTATGCCTCTACGATTCCGAGAGTCCCTAGAAAGCCAGGTCTAATAGAAAATCGAGGGCGGAACGAACTACTATTCCCATCATGCCAGGGGCAGCTCCGCGCGTTCCACCCTGGGAGTTGTAGTCTCCTGCCCTTCGGATCCACCGGCAACCTCAGTGTGTGAACTCTGTTAACCAGAAAGCCTCGCACGGTCGCCGCCGTAGCGGAATTCCTCTGTTAATCGTTCTCTCCCGCTATTAGCGGAACCTGTTGGTGTGGCCCACAAGGCTCACGAGGTAAGTTGCTTAGCAAGGAGAGCTTCGGTCAACTGCCACCTTGGCCACGGCGACAGGAAGTGAGTACCCCTGTCCCGGAAGCTGGTTATAGGACCCCTCCATCCCTTCTCGCCCCGAATCAACCTCTTATCTCAAATTACATTTTGCAGGAGTGGGAGAAGGAAGAGTAGTGGGGTAAGGAATGCACCTTTCTGGAGTCACTCACGACTCCATCCCAGTTATCCCTGGGATGGAGATGTCGAGGATAATTGCACCCATGGGACGGGTCGAAGGTGACAGTCATCAGGGATCATGCCTCGACTAGTGTCCTGACTTTCCACAATTTAAACAAGAGGAGAGATGAGCGCTGCTGCTAGCCTTAACAGGGCATTAAGACATGCTATTGATTCAGCTCTCCCCTCATGACTTTTCCTACCTTCCATCCCTCAGATTGGTCGCTACCCCTAGGCCCCCCGTCATGCCTCACATCGACATCGACGTCAAATTGGACTTTAAGGATGTCCTGTTGAGGCCCAAACGCAGTACCCTTAAGTCTCGAAGTGAGGTGAGCCTGCTTCCCCTGGTGGGCCAGGACTGAGAAAGATTCCTGGCTCTTGTCCTTGTGCAATACTTATTTTTTGGATGAATGAAATGCTCATTTTCCTGTTCATATCTGCAGGTGGATCTCACAAGATCCTTTGTGTTTAGAAACTCAAAGCAGATATACACTGGGATCCCCATCATTGCTGCCAATATGGATACTGTGGGCACCTTTGAGATGGCTAAGGTTCTCTGTAAGGTAGGACTTCTCTTATGCTCAATGATGTCCAATCATGTGGGCTGACTGCAGAGATATTTGCATCCCCACCCCCATCCCAGATCAACTCTTTGGCAATTAACAGCCCAGATGCTCCATTTTACTATTTTCTCCATTTATAAGGCCCCCTCATCTGTTAAGTTCAAAGGGCCATATGAGTTAATACGATTCAAAGCTACGTCTTGTCCCCATTTTTCTGATATATGAACAGAACTTTCCGTTTTCTCCTGTCCAGCAGTTAATACACCTTGCCAACTTTTCCTACCACCCAGGTCACCCCCCCCCAAATCACATGCATCTCTCCAGTTACACCATTGTTAGGAAACTAAGCATTCACAGTTTTAGTTCAGAAATTAAATACGGTTTGAGCATTCAAAAATTCCTAACTAGAAGATCCTCAAGAGAAGCAGCTTATTTTTTTTTATGCCGTCTATCCTTTTTTTAAAAAAATATTCTTCTTTATTTTAAGTCTTAGGTTCCTGGGAGTTTCTGGGATGTGCCCAAAATGTAATGTTTTTCTTACATACAAGTTATTGTTCACTTTCAAAATAGAAGATGCTGCTTCTGTCTGTAATGTTACCTGCCTCTCTACTTGTAGCTGAGAAGGTAGATAGTTACTGTGGGCACTCTGAGAACATATGCACTCTTCTGGTTAATCCATATAGTCCTGATTTGTGGATTCTGCTGGCCTGTGGCTCTGTCGGCCTTAAGGACTTCTCCCTTTCTCTGTTGCTGATTGCTGTAAGTTTTTGTGGAATGTCTGCTGTCATTTCTCTGAAGTTGATAGTTATAGTTTTAGTACTATAGTGCTGTTGCTATGCAATAACTATTTAGGAATCCTGCTGTTGTCCGCCTGCCCTGTCCAGCAGAGTTGAGGAATGGTGAATCTGACTTCAGTGTCAGCAGTCATGCTGTAATACATGGATTTTGTGGGCACTTTCTTGATGTTTTATGTTGAGACTGGCTTTTCAGTACTGCTAATGAGTGCTAAAGAAATCAGATTTTAGAGATAGAGCCAAGTCTCACAGTCATAATAAAAAGGTTGGATGCAAGCAAGCTTCTTTTTCTAGATCTCTACCTTGGTATGTAATTGGATGTGCTCATCATGCCACATCATGCCCATATATCTCCAAGGCCCGCTGACCTCCTAGAGTGATTTTTCTTTGTCTGTCAGTATGTTGATGGCAGAGTGTTGCTGAAAAAGCAGAATTCAATACCAGCTTTTAGCTAAGTAGTGTTGATGATAATCTCTGAGTGACTATAACAATAACCCTTCCTTACTGCTGGCTGATACGTGACTTCCTTGGGTTTCTTGCTGGCTGCAATCAACTTGTCTCAATCAACTGCTGTCTCTTGTCTGCTTGCAGGTCTGCACTTTTAAAGTACAAACACCAGCATTCACAGTGGCCTTTGAATGCCTTTCTCAAAGTATTGGGATATTGTTTGCAATCTGTTGAGCTAGGGAATACAAATCTGATAAACCATTATGTCCTTGAACTTGGTTGGCTGAAATAGACTCAATGAAATAGACCTTTCAGGTTGGTCTATGTCTCAAGAAAATTTGTCCTTTACTCCAGTGGAGATGGTGAAAGGACGGGTAACACCTTATTGGATTCATTAACCTTGAGGCCTTACCTTTTGTGAGCATTTAGACTTGCTGAATTGACCAGAGATACCAAAAATAGGTTAGTTCTTCTACTAGCTTACCATAGGAGGGGCTGAGTCAGTGTAGGCAGTATAGGCTCTGTACAGCCTCTTCATGGCTCTTTTTTGTCCACTGCTTGTCCTTGTCACCTCTTAAGTCAGAAGCACTGTTTGTGCTGGCAGGTGAAATCCAATCCAGATGACTCAGTACTTTGGTGGGAGTGTTTGACAGTACTAGCTTATGGTAAAAAGCCCTTCTGGGATTTGTAGGGAGAATGATTGAACTAAAATCCCAGCTCAACCCCTCAGTTCTTCAAGTTGCTTTTTCCAGACTTCAGTCCTTTTCTCCCTCAGAATAGTGTAAAGGCCTGTTTCTAGAAAAAGAGACCCTAATAAAGTTCTCTCCTTTTTGATGGCTCTCGTTCTTCTCTCTAGTTTTCCCTCTTCACTGCTGTCCATAAACACTACAGCCTCGAGCAGTGGAAAGAGTTTGCTAGCCAGAATCCTGACTGTCTTGAGGTAATACTGGTCCTCCCCTGATCCCTTCCTTATCCCAGTTTTCCGGGAATCTTTCTTTGGCTTCCTGGGGATCAACCCTTACCTCCCCACCCATTGGCTGCTCATCAGGTCATTTCTGACATGCCATAGGCTGTCTAAGGCCTCCCATGCCAGTGCGCCTCTTTCTCCCACAGCATTTGGCTGCCAGCTCAGGCACAGGCTCTTCTGACTTTGAGCAGCTGGGACAGATCCTGGAAGCTATCCCCCAGGTGAAATATATATGCCTGGATGTGGCAAATGGCTACTCTGAACACTTCGTTGAATTTGTAAAGGATGTGCGGAAGTGCTTCCCTGAACACACCATCATGGTATGTTTCTTTTACCCTGTAGTTGGTACATTCCTCCTCTTCTTCCACTATTTCGTGTCATTCCATTTTGTTATATCAGTTAATTTCTCCTCTGCTGCATTATGATTTTCTTCGTCCACTTAATCATGTCACTGGGTGATTATCCATGGTTACACTTAAAATGTTTATTTATTGGTCTTTGCAATCTCTGACCCTTGATACATACTCTTTGTAAATTCAGTGTCCCTGACATCACTCAACAAACCATGATGTGTTTAGGCATTGTATGTACCTGTGGTATATATACACCTGGCCCACTGAAATGGATATAGTACTCCAATCATATTAAAGAGGTCACATGAAACAATGTTTTATTTTTTTTACAAGCTTAGGGGAGTGATGACAAGGCCTCGTTTTCTTCACAGCATTGAGGTGTCACTCTGTTCGTTCTATCAGAAGCAAATATAGCTGTATAGATGGATATTTAGCCTGCATTACCATGTCTTCCCCTTTTCCCTAAGCCAGAGAGGTTTTATGACTTAACAGCTTAAGGGAAGGATATGTGTGGGTTTCGTGGTAGGGAGCAGGAGATAAATCTACCGTAAATCAGATTTGATCTTGTCCCCAGCTTTTCCCTAGTCCAACAGTGACACTGGCCACAAACCCTCTTACCTCAGCTGGGGAAGCAAGGTCCTTTGAAGTGGCTAGTCTAAAAGCTCTCAGGGGGCCCAATAGTGGGAACTCAGATACGCTTCTTTGTAATAATGTTGGAAGGCCATGATCCTGGCATCCTATATATGAGAGCATGCAACCTCCTCTTCGTTTCTGACCCTAAAAATGCTCTGTCTTGATTGCTGTCTCAGGCAGGGAATGTGGTAACAGGAGAGATGGTGGAAGAGCTGATCCTCTCTGGGGCTGACATCATCAAAGTGGGAATTGGACCAGGTAAGCTAGCTCATTAGGGGCCATTGGCAAACACCTGTGGAGCACTTCACGCTCATCCTTGTCACATTCTTCTCAGGCTCTGTGTGTACCACCCGGAAAAAAACTGGAGTGGGGTATCCGCAGCTCAGTGCAGTGATGGAGTGTGCAGATGCTGCTCATGGCCTCAAAGGCCACATCATTTCAGTAAGGCCCAAGGGCAGGGTATGCCAAACATCTGGGTTTTCTGCTGTGCATGGGAGCTCTGCTAGAGGTGGATCAGGACTCCTGGATTCCTGTCAGCTTGAGGTGGGCCACTGGGACATCGCTGAGAGGGCTTGGGAAATCCATGCTGTCCCGACTGTGCTCCTTACTTTGCAGGATGGAGGCTGCAGCTGTTCTGGAGATGTGGCCAAGGCTTTCGGTAAGGACACTGGGAGGGCACAGAAGGAGGACCTTATAAAAGAGGATGAGTCACCTCTGAGGGTCTAGGATCAGGCCAAGAAAGGCTGGGGAAGCCGTTCAGATTCTTTCATAATATAAACTAGTGACCCTGAAGCCTGTGGTGTTACCTGGGGCAAGCCAGCTAGGGAAATCCTGAGACTCTGCTACGGACTTTCCCAAGTGTGGGTCAGAACCTGGACTGTTGGACAGTGTAAATGCCAGAATCTCAGATTTACAAAATCTGGCTGTGGGAAGTGGGGCTGCAGATCTGCATTTTTCACAGCTTCCCAGGTGATCCTTGCTCACACTGAAGCTGGAGACCTTTGCTCTAGGAACACCTGAAGGGAGTCTTGTTCAGCAGGGCACAGTAAAAAGAAATGACCAGAAGGTGGCAAAAGCAGCAAAAAGGAGAGAGTAAAGCCAGGCAGGGCATCTCCTGCAGCTCTTTTCAAATTCTTGGAGAGGTCAGGCCCACTGAGGACTAGAGGTCAGGGTGGAGCATGCCTGTGTGGGTTTTGGGCCAACTAGGGAACAAAACCAGGAAGATGCAAGAATCATTATCAGGACTGAGAATTTGGTGAGTTGCTTCTGAGGGTGGGCATGTGGGCACCTGGGTCAGATTCATCTTTCTACCCCTCATTGATAGGGGCAGGAGCTGACTTCGTGATGCTGGGTGGCATGCTGGCTGGGCACAGTGAGTCAGGTGGTGAGCTCATCGAGAGGGATGGCAAGAAGTACAAGCTCTTCTATGGAATGAGTTCTGAAATGGCCATGAAGAAGTATGCTGGGGGTGTGGCTGAGTACAGGTATGTGTAGAGGCCCAGGAGCTGAGTAGGGTGGTGGCAGAACTCATGGCTGCTGGGAGATGGATGGTATATAGTTCTTGGGAGAAAAGTGAACTGGGACTAAATGCTAGAGATTGGGGACGAGTCATTGGAATCCATTAAGGAATCCAGAAGGAAAAGATAAGAAAGTTTTTCTTCCTCTAAGGGCCTCAGAGGGTAAGATGGTAGAGGTGCCCTTCAAAGGGGATGTGGAACATACCATCCGAGACATCCTTGGAGGCATCCGCTCCACATGTACCTACGTGGGAGCAGCTAAGCTGAAGGAGCTGAGCCGGAGAACTACCTTCATCCGTGTCACCCAGCAGGTGAATCCAATTTTCAGTGACGCGAGCTAGGCCTGAGCAGTTCTGCCCGCCCAAGGCACCAGCACCCTGCGACAGGGCCTCTCAAGCAGGCTCCTCCCCCATTCCAGCTACTATGACTATTATTTGGTCACTTCCTGTCGTCTCACCCCTGAGAGCTCCTGCAGTAATTCTGTTACTTCCCTATCTGCACACACAAAATGCCCAGGGCACTCACTGGGGAGGAAGCAAGGAAGGCAAGCTAAGAAAATGAAGATAATCAAATGAGAATCTGGGGACCCCGCTCTTGAAGATTATTAAAAGAAAAAGATGCTGATTCATACATAAGTTTTCAACGAGTATATGGCCGTGGTTTGGAAGAGGTAGGCTTTTAGAATCATGTTTTGTTAATCAGCTTTATTAAATACGATCTTTGAATATATAAAAAGCTCTGAAGAAGTGTTTACACATTTTTTTTTTTTAGCTGAGCCATCCTGCCATCTATCTGTTGGCAGCTCAGCTCAGGCCGGGCATAGAACCGCTGTTGCTCAGAGCTCGCACTCTTGAGCGAGCTCTTAACTGAGCCACTCAGCCGGCCCCTACATATTTTAAATCCCTCAATAAAGAGAGATCCCAATGACTAAAGAGATTCTGAGGCTTTCTGCACAAGGCTGGCATCTGGGTGCTGCTCCAGGGCAAGTGGAGGTGGAGGTGGCACTGACCCACTGGAGTTAAGGACAGTGAGTACTTTCCTCATGAAGAATTTCCATTCTAGTACCACCACCCCAGGTAACCTAGCAGCATGAGAATTTATTATAGAGTATGTATTCTGGCATTAGGACACACAGATACTTTCCAAATAGCAAAAGGAAATTTTTCATCCAGATTCGTCCTGGTAACCCTTCTGGCACATCTGAACAACACTTTCCAAGGGAAATAAAAGGGCAAAGGGAGGGGCAGCTGGTTAGCTTTGTTGGTTAAAGCGCAGTGTTCATAACACCAAGGTTGCCGGTTTGATCCCCGCATGGGCCACTGAGCTGTGCCCTCCACAACTAGATTGAAACAACTACTTGACTTGGAGTTGATGAGCCTGGAAAAAACACACTGATCCCCAATTAAAAAAAATATTCAGGGGGAAAAAAAAAAAGGCAAAGGGATTCATCTACCCCTTGGAGAAGCCAGTTCGGTTTTTTTGTTTTTTTTTTTAAGATTTTATTGGGGAATTGGGAACAGTGTTGGGGAATTGGGAAGGGGAACAGCCAAGTTGTTGTCCTTCAATCTTAGTTGTGGAGGGCGCAGTTAGCTCAGCTCCAAATTCAGTCGTCATCTGGCCACCCATCGGCAGCTTGCGGCTGCTCAGCTCAAGGTGCCGTGTTCCTTCAGCTCACTGGCCCATGTGGGAATCGAACCAGCGACCCTGTTGCTCAGAGCTCGCGCTCTTAACTGATTGAGCCACTGGGCTGGCCCCAAGCCAGTTCTGTTTTAAGGAATGATCTATGCTGACCTTACAGAAGCTTTAATTCCCCTCCCTCACGCCAACACAGTGTTTTAACACATCCAAAGTTTAATTATCAAGCATTACAAAGTAATTTTGGCGATGTAGTCAGGCAACTCAAGCCTGGGCTTCCACTTTATTACCACTAAACTGCATGTGGACATGAGGAGGAAGGAGACAGGCAGGGCGCAGAGGGCATCCCAGTCCTATCAGGAGTCTAGAGCTCTAGAGTCTGTATGGTCATGGGGAGGGACAGACATGGCACTGGGCCTAGAATTGGTGAAGTATTCACAGAAGGTGGGGATTAGGGTGTCAAACTTTGTCTTCTCATAGTTTTCCAGAAATTCCTGTAGAGAATGAGTAGGGAAATCCTATTATCATCTGAAACATCCCTTGAGCCCTCCATACTCTGGAGCATGTGGGTTTCTGTCTTGTGCCCGATCCCCTTCCTTCCCCAGCTTTCTGCTCCTCCCTACCTACCCTTCCTTCCCTCTGGCCATTTTCTTCCTCATCAGAGTCCAAAACCAAGTCCCCTATGGTAATGACAGGGCTGCACTGAGATGGAGGATGCACTGCCGGAAGAAAACTAGAGTTAAAGTACTCTTCTAGGTGAACATAGGCCCTCAGGAGTCCCCAAGAGAGGAGGCTGTCTGACCCAGTCCTCACTCAGGATACCTACCTGGCTTCCTGGCCCTAGGAGGTGATGCCACTCTCAGAGACTTCATGGAGCGATCCCAGCAATTCCTGGGGTGGAAGCAAGCAAAGAAGATAGGGTAAAGGGAAACCAGGCAAGGAATGTGCTGCTAGTAGGGAGAAGCAACTGTTCCACTCACTCCTTTTGCTCTGAGGCAGACAAGTCAACTGGGTTCTTCAGAGCCCTTCCGCCCAGGGTCTGGTTTGGACTCGGAGACTTTCCTGTGGAGGCTGCTCTTGTACCAACAGCACCTGCTGGATCTGCCATGTGTGTCCCATGTTCTTCCCTGTTCTCAGGTTTAGATATGACCTGGGTTGGTGAACCCAGATTCCTAAAGGGGAACAGCATCACTGTGGGGCGCTCCTTATGGCCTACCCTAGTGGATGCCCACTGGGACTGGATTCTTCGCTGGCCTAGAGGAGCCAGATTGAAGTGGTGGCCAGCCGAAGGTTCTGGGTGCATCCTTGAGGCTGGTTTCTGAGGAAGATATGGGTCAGGCTTGGCTTTTGGCAGAGGATGGTGGACTGCTGGTCTTGGTTGCTGAGGAGGACTCTGCTCCATGGCTTCTGTCATGTTCATTGAATTAGTAACAGAACACTCTAAAAAAAACACAACAATGTTCCTTATAAAGAGAAGACAGTAACACATCAACTCAGTCTGGCTTCTTATGCCTCAGGCCCATATAACCCTTGTAATGGGCTGGCTGTCTCAAAAGATCTCAGGCTAAACACTCCACCCCCAAATTCCTAGTTCTCCCAGATAGTCCTGATACCTGGAAGTGGCCACTCCATATCCACACCATACTGGCTCAAAGCAAAAGAAGAAGTGATAGAAACTCCAGGCTGCATCCAACTCAGCACATCCTGAAGCTGTGGGCAGGGAGAGAGGGATGAAGACCACAGTCCTTGATACAACCACCCGGCACTCTGCCCCCTGTTTTGCCCCAGGAAAACCTGCTGTGCTTGCGGTGGAGGCAGTGCTTTTTCCAGCTGACACAAATATTCAAAAAATAGCTTTTCCATAGCAGCCAGAAAGGGTTCCCCATACTCTTGTTGAAGTTCCTGCAGTGCAGAAAGAAGCAGGTCAAAAGGACTAGAGAAAATAGCCACATCAGAGCTTCCAAGCCAGCCAGCCTCACCTGCAGTTTTGAAGCCAAATCCACAGGGGCCTCTACCAGCCGCTTCACCTGCTGGCAAAACGCTTCCTGTGCCTCAGAGATCTTCCTCAGATCCTGCTTTGTCTGTTGAAGGTAAAGAAGGCAGGCACGTTAGGGGCACCAGGATCCAGTGGCCGGAAGGAAGAGCAATTTCGTTGCACCAAGGGTTAACGGGGTGGGGACTGTTCCAGAGATTACTCACAGCTTTGGGGTCCCGCACTACAAGTCCAGACTCTGGGAAGTGGTGATGCAGGGCATTCAGAACCTGGGCCCAAGGCCGGCCCTGCAGGATCAGCTCCACCACCACCTGTGAATGTACTGAGCTCAGAATCCCCATTTCGGAGCAAGTTGCCCTTTTCCTATCGGTCCCATCCCCCGAAGCGGTCTGCCCTTGTCAGGTACTCGCATCCCGCTCCTTTCCCCTCTTCCTTTTCCAGGTCCCACTGGCTCCAATACCTTGGCCTTTAGGCCCATACACAGGCGTTCGTGGTGGCGGTAGCGAACCAAGCCAGGGGCAGCAACGCGCAGGGATCGCAGAAACTCCAGTACTCGCGGGAAATTTTCCACGCAGCGTCCGCGGACGACTTGCCAGCTGGCAGCGGCTGCAAACCGCAGAGCTGCGGGACTGGCCCCCGGGGGTGTGGCCATTGCTCCGCCCCGGGGGCAGTCCTTAGGGTTTCTTCCTCCACCGCGAGGCTTTGACTTCTCCTAGGGGCGTGGCTTCCGGTGGCCCTCAGTAGCTCGGATGTTTTGCGGGGCCCAGGGTACTTCGCGATTCGACTCAGTGCCCTTCCATGGTCCACCAGAATTCTGGACGTTCTCCCCAACTCGGACAGGAGACTGAATGGAGAAGATATCCGGCTCCAAAGGCACCAGGTCGCTCTGCCTTAAACGGGACCGTTGTTTCTAATCCGAGAGCTACCGACCTTCCAGTCCGACCAGCTTTCTTGACCCGGAAAATGGCGGCAAGGATCACCAATGGGCCGCGAGCGAGGGGAAACGTGACGTCGCTTCACAAGGCCACGCCCCAGGACGTACGGCACCGCTCCCCATTCCCCCCGCGCTGTCAGGTTCCTCAGTCGGCTGCCTGGCTGCGGTGACAGCGGGTCTGGGCCCTCGCGGTCACTGACTTTGTCTGCGGAGTCTGCAGAGAAGTCACGCCCCTCTCTGAGGTTTGACTTCCTAGTGTGTAAAACGGGGTCATGCCGCTGGCCCTCTCCATCGCTATCACTCACTGAAATACGATTCCTTAAATTCCAGCCCCCAAGCAAGCGCTGCAAAGCCTTCCCTGGTGGAGCGCTGCTTCCCGTAAGAATTCAGCAGTTCCTTTTTCAAAACAGGAGAGGGCGCCCGCTTTTACAAGTTTGAAAAGATACATCAGATTGTTAACCTGATTTTCTCTGGGTGGTGAGAGTAGATAATTTGGGAGGACTTTTCTGTTTGATATATATCTATATCTATATCTATATCTATATATAGATAGATATAGATATAGATATAGATATTTGTATCGTGTTATTTAAAAAAATATAAAAGTTTCCATTTTCCAATTTCTGTTGTGCATTTACTCCAGACAGCCCCTAATGTTTTGCTTGTCTCCATGTCACCCTTCTTGATGTCTACTTATTTCATCACCAAGTACAGAACCTGGCACACAGTGTATTCTTTGTTGAGCGAATAAATTACGTG